AACTACTTCATCTTGGATGAATTTACAGTCGGTAATGCCAATGACCACATCTGATTATGGAACTACATCAAAGAATAAACTTTTTTGGTACAAAAGAAGCTATAAAACATAAAAGACGCATAAACGAAAAAGGATACGCAGGATTTTGACTTTCATTCTCTGACTTCCTGCAGAATTGAAACCCAAACTGTTACATGCCACTGTACATTTGTATGCATGTCTATAAAATTTGTTCCATTAATTTAAAATTTTTAACATTCAAAAGATTAGCAAAAGTAGGAAGGAGAACTCAATCCCCAAGATATACCCTCTTTGTAAAGAGCATATTAGAAAATAATTAACTTAGAATTACATTACATCAGAGAATAAAAGAGCAAGTGGCCTAACAACTGAAACTATCAAAAAGAATTGGAGTGCAGTAGATATGGCAGGGAAAAAGAATTTAATGTTATTATTGTCTAAAGCGTATTCCCCAGGACACAAAAAATATGGCCAATTGAACATATTATTTTCAGCTTGGTGACCAAGTTATCAAACCAAGCACATCAACTGTCATTCTGAAGTGACTTCGAGCTAAAGCAGCTTAACATTTCAATGAAAAAAAGAAAATAAAGCTCAACAAGCTTAACCCTCCAAAGGCTGCATGTCTGCAATTGCAACTTTATAATCACTTTCCGAAAATGGGCGGAGGTGAAATGCAGCTGAAATCTAGGAGCACTAGAGTTTCCGAGGGAATGGCAAGTGAGCCTCAACTTTCATCTTTTCACTATTGATCAGTGTATTTTCCAGCTATCAACAGTGGTCTAATACGTAATGCATTCATACTGGTCTGAAGGGACAAAGGGCAAAGGATTCATATGGGATACATACAGTTGATGAGATTAATAAAAGAGTTATCTCAATTTTATTGAGCCTTTCTAAAGGACAAAGGAGGTTGCACATGTTATTATACATGGCCGTGGTATGAAAGGAACTACTCGTCTTCGAGGAAATGATGAGTTTCCTGCACTTATCAGGATTGTTTTGAAGGATGAAGCTTAGGGACGGACCAGCCCTCGACATCCACAGGGTTGGATTGAGTTCTTAATGGTAAAGGGGGGAACTTGTATCAATATATCTATAGTGGTAAAATGTGAATTCTACCATAAAAAGTCATTCAAATAGGGTTTATACTTTGACAGGAGTTTGGCAACCTAAAAAGGTAAAACATCTCAGCCAAATTCAAAGAGAAACTGCAGAATCCTTAAAACGGATCTAAAACTATCAATTAAGTTCAAAATGAAGAACTCAGTGCACATAATCAGATAATTAATTTCATTCAGTTGCAATCATTCAAATCAGTCAGGGGGGAAATTATCAAGACCAAATTATACTTCATCTTAAACAATCAACCTAACATCCAATTTGAACACATTTAGAGCAACTTCATCACATCTCCCAATAAATCAACGGAAATTACATCCTAGACAATTTAGACTGGAGCAACTTAATTTAGTCCAACGCTAAATCCAAATTCAATTTGACAATGTAAGTTTTGAAAACAAATTAATGCATTACCTCCTCAAAGTCCAACGCTGAAACCGGAGACGGAGGAGAGAGGGCGGCAGCGATGAAGTGCTGGCTGGAAGTCGACGACTGAACGAGAGAGGGAAAAAAGAAACAAAAAAGGAAAACCCAAAAGAATTAAACTAAAAAAATAATAATGAAAATGTCCTATGTGGGCTCTGGGCTTCACTGGGCTGAAAATTTAAAATGGGGGAGTTCAGAAACCGGCCGGGCGACTAAGTTGGCGTCACAAAAATCTGAGAGTTTGATAATATACACATTTCTCAAGATTATTCGAGGACGACAAAATTATAAATAGAGTAAATAGTGCTTGAACTGCATATAAAAAATCTAAGTGCTTTACATTTCATTTTGCCACTTAAAAGTAGAAAGTGTTTTAAATTAAAAACTAAATGAAAAATGAAAATGTTGTTTGGATGGTATTTTGAGCAAAAAGTTGTTTGGATATTGGTTTTGAAAAAAATATTTTGAACTATATTTTGAAAATATCAAGTACGAGTCATCACTAAACAATTAAATACTGTCAATTATAGTCACTGCAAAAAAGAATTTTTCCAAAAACAATTACTCAAAAACGGAATCCCGTCAAATTTGTCACTGAACTATTTGTAGTTCTAAAATGGTCATTGCACTAAAAAAAAGTGTTTCAAGTTAGAATTTAAAATGTAAATTAGAAAGTTGTTTGGATGATGTTTTTTTTTCCATTGGGTTTTGTGTTTAAGAGGTAAAATGTGTTAAAATGTAAAATGAGTGGATGTCCAAACAAGACCTAAGATCTTTAACGTTTATTTCCTAACTACTTAATAAATTCAACATTTTTGTTTTACTATCAGTATTCGGAATTAACTACTTTCTCTCTTCTATTAAATTTATGCAAATTTTGATATAATTATAAATTCTATTTGAACATTTATAATTTACAATGTGAATTGTTTCTTTGAGGCTGGAGTCCTATTAATTTTTATCAATCTGGTTTTGAATTAATGGTGAATTTATTAGCTAACCAAAATGAATAAATAAATATGATAAAATGCTCAAACACATTTAAAGAAAAATTAATAAATAAATAATATAGACAAGCGTCTTCATGGTTTTATTAAAAATTATTCATTAACATATAAGTACATGTTTATCGAAAACTTTTTATTTTCTAACTTTTAAATATACACTCAACATTACCAGAATTATGTGGCGAAAGTTCATCTTCATGAACGGATATTAATTGAAGTTGTTGGGACAATACATCATCTTCAATGTGAATCAATTGACGTTGTGCCAGATCATCGTCGTTGGTTTCAACCGTGAAAACTGCAATCTTGGGTGAATCCATTGTTAGCGTTATCATTTGAGTGCTCGTCATTGCCACCTCCTTGATAGACTTCTAAGTACGTTCATCATAAACAACACCAAAAGAATTTGATTCAAATCAAAACTCAATCTTGCAATTCTTAGTATTTTTTTAAAGATGAATGAAAGATAGTTTGCATCTACTTTTCAATTTTTATTTTATTTTATAGATGAAAAGTTAAGTGAATTGCCAAATAGTGTTGATAAGATACTACATTTTTAGTTTTGATTTCTTAGATACGATTGGCTACAGGATAAAGAAAATAATAAGGGGAAAAAAATCAATTATATTGATGCGCGTGGTTATTATAATAAAAATTAATTAAAACTTAACTTATTTTTACAATTTCTAAAACAAGTCCACAATCGATTGTGAACATGGTTTACCATATAAATTGATATTGAGTAGTTTATTAATCTTTACCCGCCCCCCTCTTTTTCCCCTCATAACGGTAATGTTGTTCAACCCGATGTCTCTGAAAACACACGTACGTACCCTTTTTCCAAACACGTCCACGAATTTATACAGCATTCTAGTTGATAGATATGACATGATGAGTGACAGAATCAATCCGAACATTTGCATGATCGATAAGATTAAGACATTTTTTTTTCCGAACGCAGAGTCGATGAAGCCAGTTTTAACTTCCCTAGTTCCGTCCTTGGGCATGACAATTGTCCATTTGTCCTCTCTCTCTCTCTCTATATATAGTCAAGACCGTGTATCGAATCCATGTCATATAAATATACAAAAAGAAGAAAATCACAATATAATAACACAAGGAGCATCAAGTAATTTTTTCTCATGATATAAAACAAAAAGTAGTTCTTTCTCTTTCTTTTTTAATAAAAAAAAAAAACCTTTTGGATACAATAATGGAGATACGTATAAAAGACTCAAAATCACAACATTAAGATGGATGGTAGACGACAATACCACCGTACTCCAATCGTAGTGTGGATTAAGAAGTCTTTAGAAACCCTAGCTAGGGCTAAGATGGTGAATCTAATTAATGTATCCATTTCCAACACTTTAGTATATGAATGGTGATATAATTTTGAGCAGCAACATTCCGCTCTTTATTTAGCATTGACATAATTTATATATCTAGTAAATTAACCCACGACCATTCTCATAATTAGGAAAATTTATTTTTGCAAAATCAAATGCATTCTTCCCATCGTGGCCATGTCCGAAGAAATGGTTCACGTAGTCTTTGTATGCCACTTCTCTGTATATGGTTCCTCCGTCGCACTCCACCAGCTGAGGGAACGGGCCTATCTTCTCCGGTAACGCCGGGGCTACAAAAAGTGGAACCGACACTCTTGATTGCTTACTTGTTGTAGGGACTTTATGTTCTGAACTTTTGTATATCTTCTATTACTAAGAATCTGTAATGACATTTTGAATTAGAAGCGGAAACGTAACAGGTCAAGACAAAAATAGATCACAATTTGAAGTTCTTTATTCAAATAAATACATCATGGTTAGCTTATAAAGCATTAATCCGTCCCCCATGTATAAGCAAATACTCATACTGCTTCAAAATAATTAATTGTCCAGTTTTGAATTTCACTTTTAATACAATTTAATTTCCGTTATGCTAAATTAAAACTACAAATTAGTCAATCATTTCAAGAGGGAATGAATAGTTCATTTTGTCTTATTATATTAGTTTATCAAATTAAACTATTTTTATCGATCTAGTTATAAATTAGTTAATACAATTCACTAACCTGTAGCGAATCGCCAACATTAATCACCAAAGCACCGGGAATGGGAGGGATCAATCCATTCCTCTTTCTTATCTTCTCCTTGAGCTTCTTGTGTATGATCATCAACACACTTTCACATACAAACCACCAATCTCATCTTGCAGTAAAACGGTTAAAATCCCTATATCAGAGTGGCGTTTAACGCCAGTTTTTACTTCTGGATGTGGACAATCTGGGTACGTAATAGTTCATATTTACCACCTTCGTACCACTTAGTAAGGGCGCCCATTTGTGTCCGTTTATTTTCATTCACTACGCAGCCTTTTGCGAATTTTAGAAGAAATTAACAGAGAGTAAGGAGATGTTCGGGGATGGATTGCTTAGCAGTAAAGAATTATGTCAGGTACTTTGATAATGATAATAACTCAAACTCCTCCAGTCTTCTAATGATTGTCATTTTTAGTAGAAAACAATCATTTTATGATGGAGAGAGTACTGGATTTATTACTTAGTTATGATGTCATTTCTTTATTTTTCGTTTTATTTTTCCTTTAATTAAACGTTGATCTGGAGTTTTGAATGGAAGTATTTACTGGAGACAAGTGTGTATCCACGTGAACATGAGCTGCTGAAAGATTTAAGGGCTATTACTGCAACTCATCACAGGTTAGTATACTATTTTGGGTGTAAAAAGTCTAAAACAAAAGTCCAGTTTGTTGAGGTAAATCGGTACAACAAAGAAGTTCATTACGCGATGGAGGAAGTACCCAATAGCTAATATTTAATGAAAACAAGTACTCCTTCCGTCCCGAAATAATTATCAAGTTCGAATTTTTATTTTTAGTTCAAATTATATTAAAAGTGAGAATTCAAATTGGACAATAATTTTGGAACAGAAAGAATTATTTCAGAAACTATATGGAAATATTTTTCAACATTGATAAAGTTAATTTGTTTCTTCTTTTTCAGGTATTTTTTGGCCACTGAACCTGATGCAGGGCAGGTGCTGGCAATGCTGTTAGAGATTGTCAGCCCTAAAAAGGACAATTGAAATTGGAGTGTTTACTGGATACTATTTACTCCTCACTGCACTTACCATACCACAAGATGGAAAGGTTAATTCCCTGGTACTCTTTGTCGTGAGACGTGAATCATGATCATTTTGTTTATCTCACTGTATGTCATCAACCTATCTCCTAAATGTTGCAGATCATAGCAATCGACCCAGATCAGAGTGCATACGAGAAGGGTTTGCCGATTATCCGAAAATCCAGAGTTGCGCACAAGATCAATTTCATAAACTCCATGGCTCATCCTGTGCTAGATCAACTCCTGCAAAATGCATATATACCGCAAATTTTGTGACAAACTTTTACTCTTCATTGTCTTATAAAAATAGTACATTGTAACTCTATGAATTTTACTCAAGAAAATTATATAATTCGTAAATTATAACATTAACAATTTTTTCAAAATAGAAAGAGTACTATTCTTCTTATTGGTATGGTGCCCTAAAAATAACGTTCCTTGCTTCTGCTTGCAGCCTGATGAAGAGAATAGCTTCAACTTCGCCTACGTGGACGCGGACAAGGTGAATTACGTGAAGTATCATGAGAAATTGTTGAAATTGGTGAAGCCCGGTGGCCTAATCGTGTACGATAACACACTGTGGATGGGATCAGTGGTGATGGCAGAGGAAGAGATTAAGAGTGAGGAAATAAGGGGACAAGTTTGGATGGTAAAAGAGTTCAACCAAATGATTGCTTCGGACACTCGAGTTGGCATATGTCACATCCCTTCTGGAGATGGAATGACCATTTGTCGTCGTCTTTTATTTACCTCTTGTTGTGAAATCTAACATGAAATTCAGTAACTACTCTGTTCCAAAATTATTGTCCAATTTGGATTTTCGAATTTAGTTTAAATTGTATTTAAAATAAAAATCTAGTCTGAACTATAATTGTGGGACGGAAGGAGTATAAGATAAGACTTATTTGGGTTCAAAAGGTAAGCCTAATGATTTTTTGAGTCCGTCTTACCTATTAAGTAATCCATGTTTGTTCGTTCCTACAACGAGAGATCAGAACCCTGGCAACACGACACTCAATATCAGTGTGATTCATTTCAAAGTTTCAACACTGTTTATAATAAATTTGTTTTCCAGTATTACATTTGTCTAGTGTAATTGGTTGGTTTGTGTACTTTTGTTTGTTCATTTTCCTAATTTCTAAAACTAACTTTTGCCATCCTATGTTAGCTTTCCATCAAATTTTCCTATCAACGTATTAGAGTACAACCGGACAAAGAACCTGCGATATATGTTGAGAGTGAATATCTTAACCTAACTCCATAAATGGCTGTCCGCTGTCGCAGCATTTTGCCTTTCGTCTAAAGTTGTTTTCGATCAAAGTTGTAATTTATATCTTTTTTGACATTGTGTTGGGACAAAGAATCACATATCGATGTCGTGAAAGATCTCTTACATGTTTATAAGTACCAAACACCACCCCACTCATTGCCAATTGGTTTTGAGATGGGAGTCCAAAATACTTATATACTTTGACATAGTATCAAAGCCCACGATCTGTGGACTTGTAATAACTATGAACCCGCGTGTGCGGGTTTGTTGACCCAAAAAAATATCAGAGCTTGTGGACTGACCCAAAAGTATATCCGAAGTTATATATCCCTGTGTACGAGCTTGTGAACTGATCTAGCAGTACATCTGGTGAATTATGTTGTATTGTGCAACCCCTATTGACCAAATAATTCATTGAGCTTGAGGGAGGGTGTTGGGACAAAGAATCCCACATCGGTGTCGTGAACGATCCGTCAATTGGTTTTGAGATGGGAGCCCAAAATACCTATATACTTTGACACATTAAAAAATAGTTCACATTAAATTTTAAAATTTGTATTGAAAATTGTATAAATTTAAAAACTATGTATAGATAATTTTTGCGACTGAGTTTGAGTCGTAATCTTCCTTCGCCAATATGCATGACGAATTTCAAAACTTTTTTTTCTTTTTCTTTTTTGTTGTTTTTGGTTTTTTCAAATAATTTAAAATGGATAAACACTAATTTTTTTTTTCATTTTTCAGTATTTAGAATTCAACATTAAATTTTATAACTCCAGTTTCAAACTAACGGTGATGAAGCGTCGTTTATATCGACGAGGATCGAGTGAATATTTCACATCGATTTGAAAATATTTGACTTGGAGGCCTTAACATATTACGTAACTTTGGGCATTACGGACTTTAGACAATGGAAATTCTAGTTGAATTAATTATTATATTGTAATCTAATTCAACCCGCTGTATCGTTCAAAACAAAATTAATACATTTTAGTAATTAGTCAAGATTTTACCCCGTTCATTTACATGTGAAGATATTGAGTGTGAGTTGGTTTTGGGAACGTGACGACTGTTTAAAAGATGGAATACTTTTGAATAATTTGTCGATGATTATCATCCGGATTTGTAAAATTACGGACTACTTCCTCCAAACATTTAAGGTCACAAATTATTTTGTTAATTCCGGAAAGAAAAATCAAATGTTGGTGACAAAATAAATATACCTTCGGAATTAAATGTAGTCTACTATACGCTCCCAATTTTTGAGGCCGTTTTGATTTTTATTACTTTTTACAGAATGCGATAATCTATGAACTCAAGCCTCAATTCCAGCACCTCGAGCTTCAAGGACAGTCACAGGATGAAGTTGATCTCCAAGGATTAGGTGCTGATCAAGTGGTAATGGATCATGTGTTGGAAGTCGGTTGAAATTGTAAATATTGTGCTGTAAATAGATTAGATGAATAATACTGTAAATAATAGTAATGTAAATGAAGTAGACTTACAGCTATAAATGATTAGTATAGCATTAATTGTACATGTAGGGATAGCATGTATATAATATGTATTAGCTTGTAAGAAAAGTTAAAATACAGAAATCAGTTTTAAGACAAAACTTCTATGGCCTTCTTCTTCTTCTCGTTTCTGAAAGCTTCCATGGAAACCCTAAGAAGCTTTTGATGGTATCAGCGCCATAGGCTCTCGGTTCCTAAAATTGCAACCGTAAATCATCTTCTTTCTTCCTCCGATTAATTACTACCGATTCAATTTTCTTGTTGCTTATCTTCAATGGCGAATTTTGAAATTACTTCAGCTCAAAGGTTGGCCGAAGAACAAAGAATCAGAGAAGCTACTCTCAATCTACATTCGTCGGAGCATCCTGGACTTGGACTGGTATCTACGGCGCTTATAGAACACAACTATTTAGCGTGGAGCAGATCTATGTGTGCAGCTTTGGAATCGAAGATGAAGATTCCGTTCATTGATGGTACTTGTCCATAACCTCCTGTTGACTCGATTCAGCATGTAAGATGGAAGCAAGTTGACTCCACGGTCAAATCTTGGATCATGGCATCACTTTCAGGCGAGATTGCTAACAGCTACATGTATGCAATATCGGCAAAACAGCTTTGGGAAGATCTGGCTGAAAGGTATAGAACTTCAAAATGTAATAAGTTTTACAACATGAGAAAGGAAAGAATTGGAGTTGTTCAAGGTGATAATTCATTAATTCGGTACTATAATTCGCTTAAGAAAGTATGGGATGAGTATGAACACTATCGTCCTTTGCCTGTCTGTACTCCTGATGTTGCTCGAATCCTGCAACAAAGAGATCAGGAGGATAAACTGATTGATTTTCTAATGGGTTTAAATAAGTCATGTGAGGCAATTAAAGACCAAATTCTGTTAATTGATCCACCTCCTACCATTAATCAAGCCTATGCTATGGTTAAGAGAGTAGAGAAACAGTTGAAGCCCGATCTGAGAGTAGTGCTTTTAGTGCAAACAATCAAACTGGCAGGTCTTTCCAAGGAGTGATCAATTCTGCTATTAACGTTTTTACTGGTGGTCAAGCAGTTAGTGCACCGATGAATTTTATTACCAATCCAGGAGGAATGATGTATAATGATAGACGAATCAGTAATCCAGGAGCAGGGCTATTGGCAAGACTTGGTGTTTCTACTAATAGAAGGAACTTTGGTGCTTCAAATCCTAATTGTTTGAGCAAAAAGGACAGGTCAAGGTTGTTCTGTACTTACTGTAACAGGACATGTCATATAAAGGAGGGATGTTTTCTGATCACTGGTTTTCCAGATTGGTGGAAAGAACTCAAGTAGAGAACCAGAAATACAGCTGGAGGAGAAAATGGTAACAGGAATTATGCTCATGCAGCTGAAACAGAGACTCCACTGGAGCTTAATGAGAAGGCACCAGATTGGAATACCATGGTCAAGCAGTTCAACCAGATGTAGCAGAACTTCAATTTCTTGATGCAAGGAAAGGGTACACAGACAGATCAATTGCCAGGAATGGTGAATTTTGCACACCTCTATGAGTTTGCAAGTAGTACAACTTATTCTAAACTGAATATGCATGCTAATATACAGGATGATTTAGGTTTCTTTGACAGTGGAGCCATTGGGCATATGATCAAAACTCTTTCCTGGTTTCATGATTCTAAGCCTGTAGATGTATCTACACCCATAAAAATTGCCTGATGGGACTGTACAATATGTAGAACAGTCTGGGAACATAGCTCTTAACCATAGGATCACCCTAGAAAATGCATTGTATGTTCCTACCTTTAAGTACAATCTCATTTCTGTCAAAAAAACTCACACAAACAGCCAACATTTACTTCTCTTTTTTGTCTGAATTGTGCATCATGCAGGACCTCATGACTGATAAGGTGGTGGGGGTTGGAATGGTGTACAAAGGACTCTATGCACTCACCAAAGACTCCTTCAGTCCATCTTTCATCAGGACTTCAATTCAGCAACACTTTCCAAGATTATTTCTTAGAGCAAATTTAGACAGTTCACTCATGTTTTCTGCTTGTAATAACACTGCTGTAGCCTTGAATACTCAGTGGCACAATCGTTTAGGGCATCCATCTTTCCCTGTATTGAAACATCTAGATCATTTACTTTATTATAAGGTTCAGCAACTTGAAGCTTGTGATGTATGCCCTTTGGCTCAACAACACAGATTAGCTTTCCCTGATAGTTTAATAAAATCAACTGCAATTTTTCAGCTAATTCATGTTGATTTGTGGGGTCCTTACAGTCATTCTAATCTTTACCAAACACACTATTTTATCACCATTGTTGATGATTTCAGTTGTTGCACTTGGACACAACTTCTTAGACATAAAACCGAAGTTGTTCAAACCTTACAAACCTTCCTTTCTATGGTTACTAATCAATTCAATACCACAATCAAAACAGTTAGATCAGACAATGGCAGTGAATTTGTCAATCATCACTGTCAAGAACTATTTTCTTCTTTGGGGATTCTGCATCAAAGTTCATGTTCTTATACACCATAGCAGAATGGTGTTGTTGAAAAAAAGCACAAACACCTTCTGCAAGTGGCTAGATCACTTATGTTTCATTCTTCTCTTCCAAAGAAATTTTGGGGAGATGCTATTCTCACAGCTATGTATATCATAAACAGACTTCCATCTCTGTTACTATCCTGGAAAACTCCTTATGAATTCTGTTTAATAAACCTCCTTCCTTTGATCATTTCAAAGTTTTTGGTTGCTTATGTTTCACGACCAACAATCTTCCACATAAAGATAAGTTTGCACCCAGAGCTTCCAAATGTGTGTTTATTGGTTATCTCATGGGACAGAAAGCCTACAAGGTTTACAGTTTAGATGATCATAAGACTTATGTGAGTAGGGATGTCATCCCCATATCAAGAAAAAAATCCTTCTGCTAGTCATACTCCTTTTATTCTTCCACCATCAATTTCTTCTAATACTGATGATGAATTTTTTCTTCCTCCAAATGAATCTTCTGATGTTCTGCACCATACCGATACTATATCACAGTCTCTATATCCTTCTCCCTCACAAATTCCTACTCCACCACCATTGTTTGTTCCAAGAACCAGTGGTAGGAACAGGCATCCACCTTCTTGTTTAGATTCTTATGTTTCACATTCTATTCTTACTTCTCCTAGTTTGGATGTTGCCTCCTCTTCTAAATTCATTCCTCCTGCCACATTTCCTTTCATCAAACAACCTTTTCTTACTTCTGATCATATAGCTTTCTTAACCAATATTACCAAAATTCCAGGACCTAGATCATATGTTCAAGCCAAAGATCATCCTGAATGGCAGCTTGCTATGCAGAAAGAATTAACTGCCTTAGAAGACAATAAAACTTGGGAAATCACTGAGTTACCACCAGGAAAGCGAGCCATTGGCTGCAAATGGATTTACAAGGTTAAGTATAATCCAAATGGATCAATTGAAAAATACAAAGCCAGGCTGGTAGCTAAAGGTTATACACAAGTGGAAGGTGAAGACTACTCAGAATCTTTCTCTCCTGTAGCCAAGTTGGTTACTGTCTGGATCATATTTGCCCTAGCAGCAGCAAAGAACTGGCCCTTGCATCGGTTAGATGTTAATAATGCCTTTTTGCATGGAACATTGATAGAAATTGTGTACATGAAATGTCCTCCTGGTTATCCCACAACCTCTTCTACTCAAGTATGCCAGTTAAAGAAGTCTTTATATGGCCTTAAACAAGCATCCCGTGAATGGAATCATGAACTCACTTCTCAACTGCAAGCTTATGGCTATCATCAATCTGCTTATGATCATTGTCTCTTTACCAAGGGAGTTGGATCAGACTTTTTAATTCTTCTTGTTTATGTGGATGATGTCCTGATTACAGGTTCTTCTGAGTCCCTTATTGCGGCTACCAATTCACATCTACATGCCTTATTTACCATAAAGGATCTAGGACCCGCTAAATATTTCTTAGGAGTTGAAGTAGCTAGATCAGCTACTGGAATCGCCCTCAACCAAAGGAAATATGTCTTAGACATTCTTGATTCTACTGGACTACTGGGATGTCAGTCCGTGTCCACACCTCTTCCCAAGGGTTTGGTTCTTCATGATTCTCCCACTCCTCTTCTTGCTGATCCTGAACAATACAGAAGACTGGTTGGCCACCTCCTCTACTTAGGCTTCACCAGACCAGATTTAACTCACTCTACTCAGCAACTCAGTCAGCATCTTCACGCTCGACGTGAAGTCCATTGGCAAGCAGCTCTGCATGTTGTGAAATACCTTAAAGGCACTCCTTCATTAGGGCTGTTTTATTCTACCAGCAATGACTTGCAGTTGTCAGGTTTCTCAGATGCTGACTGGGGTCAATGTCCATATAGTAGATTCTCTACTACTGGATTCTGTGTGTTCTTGGGCAATTCCCTAATCTCCTAGAAAACCAAGAAACAAACCACCGTCTCCTGTTCTTCGTGTGAAGCAGAATACATAAGCCTTGCCTCCACAGTCTGTGAACTTCAATGGATCTCCTACATTCTGTCAAACTTGAAGGTTCCTTTCTCTCTTCCTATTCAACTCTGTTGTGACAATCAATCTGCTCTTCACATTGCTGCTAATCCCAAGTTTCACGAACGCACTAAGCATTTGGACATTGATTGCCATGTTGTTCGAAACCAGTACAAGAGTGGCTTCATTGATTTGTTACATCTTGGCAGCAAATTTCAACCAAACTTGTTTACAAAGACTTTGTGTTCTCCCCAGTTCTTGTATTTACTGTCCAAACTGAGTCTTGTTGATTTGCATAATCCTAAGCCTCAGCTTGAGGGGGGATCTACGAACTCAAGCCTCAATTCCAGCACCTTGAGCTTCAAGGACAGCCACAGGATGAAGTTGATCTCCAAGAATTAGATGCTGATCAAGTGGTAATGGATCATGTGTTGGAAGTCGGTTGAAATTGTAAATATTGTGCTGTAAATAGATTAGATGAGTAATACTGTAAATAATAGTAATGTAAAGTAGACTTACAGCTATAAATAATTAGTATAGCATTAATTGTACATGTAGCAATAGCATGTATATAATACGTATTAGCTTGTAAGAAAAGTTATAATACAGAAATCAGTTTTAAAACAAAACTTCTATGGCCTTCTTCTTCTTCTTCTCATTTCTGAAAGCTTCCATGGAAACCCTAAGAAGCTTTTGAGATAATAGTCAAAAAGAAAACCAGATCAAATACTATCTCCCATATGATACTATCGTAAAAATTTTATAGACATCTTCAAAAAAGAAGAAAAACAAAAAAAAAAACAAACAAGCAAAAACCCTAAAGACGAAGAAGAAGAAGACCAAATATCCCATGGCGGATTCCAATTCATCAATCCCGCTACTCAGCGAGGACATAATTGTCCTGATCCTCTTGATGCTGCCTCTGAAGTCCGTTGTTCGATCTTGTTGTGTATGTAAAGCTTGGCTATACCTTATTATCTCTCCCAACAAGTTGATCAAACTGAGAAACATTAACCACAACAACAATGTCAGTAATGATTTCTTGCATCTAGGCAATTGCCACGGCAAAAAATATCTTGGAATCATATGTAGTTGTCCCGGATTCGAACCCGATGATGTTCTTATCAAACAAAATTATTTGAGGGAGATATTTGCCGGAGAAGTTACTAGAATTCGGAGCTGCCGATTAATCTTCAAAGAATGTAGCTTTTCCTTGGTGGGTTCTTGCAATGGGTTTCTCTGTTTTATCGAATTAGACACATCCGAGGTCTATCTATGCAATCCGATTCTGGGCCAGGTTAGAGCTCTTCCGGAAGGTAATTTGATTGACAATTTTCAGTTTGAGAAGAGAAAATATTACCTCAGAGGTAATAATTATGTTGTTGTATTTTTCCGTGATGAAATTGACAATGACTATAAAATTGTGAGGATTCGGAACTATAGAGATTGCTTAAAAGTGGAAGTTTTTAGTCTGGAAAATAATGCCTGGAAAACTTTCACACCATCAATTTCCCCTCGAAATTGATTGTTTCTCCTTTTTCTTGTTGATGATGATAGGAATGAGATTTTCGACTCCGGGGACTTATCAAAGACCAATTCCAATGCCGATTCGCAGTTCTTGGTTCATAAATGATGGATTGGATTTCAGACTAAAAACTTGTGCACTCCGTATCTATACTTAACACCCCTCACCTCCGGAGGGATTGGTTTGCTAATATCTTCCCCCAACCCATAAGGATTATCTCTTGACCATTTTGGATGAGGATGTGGCTCAGAGGGCTACCTTTGCTTCTCTAGAGGTAGGATGGTTTATTTAATGTTTTGGCGTTGTTGGTTATTATTATTATATATATTATTATTGTTTTTTTAATTATTATTATTTTTTAGGGTGTCAACTTGTGTGTCACTCTGACCCGCAAGTTGGACGAGCATCGGACAACCTCTCTTGCTTATGAAGGAAGTTGAACGCTTTGGAGATGAAGTCTATTGACTTGGAGGAGTCCTGCTCTCCCCTCCGGAAGGAGCTAGAGGATGCTCAAGATGAGTTGAAAGTGGCTAAGGATGGCCTTGAACTTGTTCAAATGGAAAAAGCTAGCTTAGAGAAGAGGGTTGTGGAATTGGGTGATGCTTCTGCTCAGACCCAAGAGGAGAACAAGAATCTCATCAAAGAGCTTGAGATGCTGTGACAGGACCGACACTTGTTGATTACTGAGGGTATTTCTTACTTTTTTAGTGAGGGTTTATCCGAGTCTGTGTTTCAGAGGCAGTTCAAAAGGTTGTCTTATTATCAGAAAGCTATTGGGGAGCACAAGATAGCATTGCACTACCATCCATCTTTTGAGGGTGTGAAGCTAGAGAAAATGCCTGGTTCCAATCCCAATGCAGTTGTCAAGGCCGAGGAAGCTAAAGGGGCTCTTCACCACCTGACTCTGGATTATCATAAAGTCTTGGCTGACAACGCTCAGAATCCTACTCCCATACTTATGGGTATTCATGCTAAGCGTCTAATACCCAATCCGAAGGCCAGTACTTCCCATACTATGGCAGCGCAAGAGACTTCTGGTACTAGAGATGGTGAAGGGGTGGTGAACCAGGCAAAAACATCTTGAACAAGGCTCTACTCTTTCTATAAAATTTATTGGCATGTATTTAAATTATTATGGACAAGATTGCTTACCTTTTGGTATTGCTTGCTGCTGTGTTTGTTTGTTTTTTTTTTTTTTTGTCCCTTAGGGTGGGTGCTGTAGTCTTTGTTGGTGTGCTGTCTTTGTGGTAGTTGGATATTTGTGCTTCGGCACTATATTTATTTCCTTTTCTTTTGTTCATATGGTTTGTTTTTAGCTAGCTATTTTGGTGTGCCTTTGTGAGGCTTGCCGTATTATTGTGCTTTGTCGTTTGACTGCACACTTTAGGCTTAGTAACTACTTAAAGTTATTGCCTTTATGTGAATATTCGCTAATTAAAGGTCATCACTCTTTACCGATAAATTTTTCATAATAAATCAGGAAGTTTAAGTAAAACATAAATAGTAATGATACTTAGAAAAACTTGTTTAATAATAGCGGACTTCGACCGCATTTACTTAGCTTTTATATCATTTGCAACAGGACTGCTGTCTGGTACCCATTACAACGATACTCTTTGGCATCAAAATCAAAGGTGCAACGCTATTGATGAGCGTTTTGCGTACCAAAGCAATGAAAAGAAAGTTCAACAAGGATTAAATAATACACTCTAAACAAATAATTAGCCTTTCCTTAGAAATAGAACCGTTTGAGGTTGGATTGATGCCACATACGGGGCACAGCTTTTCCATTCATCTGGACCAGAGTGTAACTTCCGGATCTGTGGACTTGTGCCATCTTGTATGGCCCTTCCCATTTTGCATCCAACTTCATATTACCGGCCACTCCACTGAAGTCGTTCCTCTAGAGCACTAAGTCTCCCACCTTGAGTCCTTTGTGCTGTACCCGGGCATTGTAATACTTTGCTGTTTGCGACTTGTAGCGAGCTTCCCGGAAAGTAACGGCCTCTCTTCTTTCTTCTACTAGATCCAGGTTTATCTGAAGGTTTTCTTCATTCTGCTCTTCCGTGAAGCTTAGTATCCAGACAAAAGGCATCCCTATCTCCACCGGAACCATAGCCTCACATCCATAAACTAGACTGAGAGGTGTCTCATTGGTACCTTTTCTAGGGGTAGTTCGATAGGACCACAAGACATGTTGTATCTCTTCTGCCCAATTTCCTTGGATTCCTTCTAACCTTGTCTTCAACCCTTGCAGTAAGGTCCGGTTGGTGACCTCTCTCTGCCCATTGGCTTGGGCATGATATAGGAAGTGAAGCTTAGCCGGATTTGCAGTTCCTGACACCAGTCTTAGAAGGGGTTGTTTGCGAATTGCTTCCCATTATCAGATATGATTTTTCCTAGTATTCCGTACCGACATACAATGTTCTTCTAGACAAACTTCAGCACATCTTTTCGGAGATCGAGGATAGCAGAGCAGCTTCTACCCGCTTGGTGAAGTAATCAATTGCCATCAATAAGAATCGGTACCTCCCTGGAGTCTGAGGAAAAGGCCCAACAATGTCAATGCCCCATTGGTAAAAGGGCCACGGGCTGGTTATTCCGATTAGATCCTTTTGCGGCTTCCTGGGGATGGGGCCATGTCTTTGGCAATCTCCGCACCTCCTTACCATGTTGGCCCCATCTTTTTCCATGGATGGCCAGTAGTAACAATTTCTTGTGGCCATCTTGACCATTGCTCGTGCTCTAGCATGACTTCCACAAGCATCCATGTGCAGTTCTTCAAGTACATAATCGACCTCTTCGGCTTCTAAACATCTTAGCAGCAGCTGTGTGAATGACTTCCGGATAAGACTCCATCAATTGCTCAGTACCGCTCGGATCTCAGAATGACCCTCCGAGCCTCCGTTCTATTTACAGGCAGTGTTCCCGCTTCATTCTATTTTTGCAATGGCGTTGTCCAGCTATCTTCTAGAGGAGCGCTAATGATTGCCACCACCCTGAGTCTGCTTGTGCTTCGGGCAGCCAATTCTTCCATGAGAACCTTTTTGGTTAAGTGTGCGGAGGCAGAAGAGGCCAATTTGCTTAAGGCATCCGCGCCCTTGTTTCAAGAGCGAGGTACCTGAATCATCTCAAAGAGATCAAACATGGATATTAGTTGCGTAACCATAGCAAGATATTGCATCATGGAGGGTTCTTTGGCTTCATACACTCCATTGACTTGGTTGGCCACCAAGGACGAGTCACCTTTAACTATCAACTTCCTAGCACCTAACTGGTGTACAAGCTCCATGCCAGCTATTAAGGCCTCATATTCTGACTCATTGTTCGACGCTGGGAACTTAAATCTTAAGGCACACGTGGTTTCAGTGCCTTCCGGATCTATGATGATTAGACCAGCTCCTGCCCCTTCTGCTCCGGAAGGACCATCTACAAAAAGAGTCCACACATCCTGCCCTTGGCTTTGGCTGGGTGTTTCCTTAGGCTCCCCCTCTTCAACTTTCACCTTCCGATGTGGTATTTCTGCTCTAAAATCCACTAGTACTTGCCCCTTAGCAGCTTTTCGGGGCTGAAAAGTAATATCATATCCTCCTAAATCTACAGCCCACTTTGCAAACCTCCCAGAAGCCTCTGGCTTATCCAATATTTGCTTGAATGGATGCTTAGTTAGTACGCATACAGGATGTGCTTGGAAGTAGTACTTGAGTCTCCTGACCATCTGTACTAAGGCTAGGACTAGTTTCTCTATATCCGGATACCTGGTTTCTGCTGCGATTAAAGCCTTGCTGACATAGTATATCAATTGTTCCGTGTCTCCTTCCTTCCAGAATAGCACAACACTAACTACTTCCGCAGCAGCTGCTAGGTATACCCAGAGGGTTTTTCCTTTTACTGGGGTTGCGAGAGATGCCATTTTCTTTAAGTACTCTTTCAACTCCTGGAAAGCTGACTCAGCTTTTTCCCCCCATACCTCCTTTAGAATACCTTTCTTTCCTTTCTGAATTTATCCTTTCAAGATCTCAAAGAAAGGTACCAACCTTTCTGCAAACTTGGACAAGAACCTGCTTAGAGACATTAGTTTCTCGTTGAGGCTCTGGACTTCTTTGATGGTTCACGAGGAAACCATATCCAAAACTGCTTCCACCTTCTTTGGATTGGCTTGTATTCCTTTCGCGGAAACTACATGCCCTAGGAAATTGCCATATCCAACTCCGAAGCTACACTTTTCCGGATTCAGCTTCATATTGTTCCTTCGGAAGGTATTCAATGTTTTCCGAATATCCACAAGCGTTTCCAACACACTCTTACTTTTGATCACCACATCATCCACGTATATATTATGTCCTAATTTCTTTTTGAAGACCTTATCCACTAACCTCTGATATGTGGCTCCGGCATTCTGGAGTCTAAAGGGCATTTTAGTGTATCAGTATACTCCCTTCTCTGTAATGAAAGCCGTCTTCTCCGCATCTTCTTCCTCTATGCATATTTGGTGGTAACCCTTATATGTATCCAAGAAATTGAATGTACGGAAGCATACTAGGGCATCTACTCTCTGGTCAATGATAGAAAGGGATAACAGTCGTTAGGACATACCTTGTTGAGATTGATATAATCCACGCACATGTGCCATGACCCATCTAGCTTCAGCACCAGTACCGGATTAGCCAACCATTTTGGATATTGAACTTCCTTCATTATCCCTGCCTCCACTAACTTTTGCACCTCATCATTAATGACCTTGCTTCTATCGGCCGCAAAGGGCCTTCTCTTCTCCTGGACGAGCTTCACTCCTTTTGGAATATTCAGCTTGTGTACTGCGGTCTCCCTAGGGATTCCTGTCATATCCGCTGGGCTCCAAGCGAACACATCCTTATAACTTCTTAACAACTCTACTACCTGGAGTTTGATAGCATCCGGAAGATCTTTGCCTACACGAACCTTCCTTTTGGGGTTCTTGGGGTCGACTAGCACAGCATCTATTTCTCCCCTTAGCAGGGGTTCGTCTCCCAACTTTCTGGTCAACCCTACATAACCTCGGTAGGGACCATCAATGTCCATGGCATCCTCCTTCGCACGCCTTCTCCAAATTGCACGAAGTAATGCCAATACATAATCTATGCGAAACTTCCTCCATCCACAGAGATTCTACGATCGGACTTATTCGCAATCTTTCCACAAATAACCACAACGTCTGCTCCTACTTGACGTTCCGGAACGAGGTCCTCACAGGAAAAAGTGATTGTTTCGAAAGGTTTAAGCCTTCGGTTATCTGCATCCCCATTCAGAACCTTCCAACACCGAGCTTTTCTCTGTGATTCCGAATCACCCCCACCTGGTCCCCCGATAATACTCAAAATGTCTCCCGTTACCACCTGGTTGACCTCTTGATTATGCTTCTCTCCATCACGATTTCTGTTCCAGTTGTACTGTCCCCTTCTATCCTTTTCGGATGCATTAGTTGCGCGATCCTCCTTCTGGGAATTCATGTCACCCTTCCGCGCCTCCAATGCACACTTAGCGAGCTGGCCATTCTGGGTACAACATTTTATCTCCCTTTTCAGATTCTTGCAATCGTTCGTATCATGCCCGTGATCTCCATGGAAGTTGCTGTATAAGCTCTTATTCCTCTTAAAGGTAGGCTTGTTCATCTTCGGCGGTGGCTTTAGAATGCCTTTCGCAGAAAAAATCTGTAGGATCTCCTTAGGTGTTTTGTTAAGAGGGGTGAGGTTTTGGAAACTCTTGATGCCTCCCAAATGTTCTCAGAGTGATCGTTTGATAGACGGTGATGGACCGCGACTCTTAGTTTCGGGTCTTCAGGCACTCTGAGACTCGTCTCTGCGCTTCTGGTTGGCTTCCTCCCCTTGAGCATACTTGTTTACCCTTTTCAGTACTTCTTTGAAAGTATCCAGAGGGTCCGCCATGAACTCCGTGTAATACCTTCCATGTCGCAGCCCATTTATGAAAGCATCAATTAAGATTTTGTAAGTTTGAGGTTCTATTTGTGCGCTTTCTTCTACAAAACATTCTACGTTGGCACGCAGCGTGTCTTGATCCCTTTGCTTAATAGTAAACAGTTCTTCTCGAGCTTTCCGAAACTTTTTCTACGGTAGAAAATGTAGGCGGAAACCCTCTTCTAATTGCGTCCAGGAACGAACACTTCTGGAGGTAAGGTTGTCAAACCAAAGCCGAGCGTTATCTCGCAGCGTAACTGGAAAGAGTTTGCACCACACTGGCATCGGGTAAGCAAACAGATTCGTAATTGAATTATACACATTCAGGTGGTCGTCCGGATCTGAGGTCTCATCATACACATCTATGTTTTTGGGGGCATTTAAACTTTTGCCCCGCTGTGAATTTCTCTATTTCTGAAGAGAAGGGTGAGTTTCCTCCATATTGCTTCAACCCGTAGTGAGTATACGGATATCGCCCTTCTTTTTGGCTACCGGAAGACGGCATTCTAACAACTCTATGTGCAGGGGATCTATTCCTTTGCGAGACAGATTCTTCGTCACCGTGCCCGGATGAGCTACTACTGACGGTGTAATGACCTTTAGAGGGAGTCTCCTTTTCATCTGAGAACAGCTGCCTAGGATCTGGAAAGGAGGTTCTCCTCTTCTCCTTCGGATCCATCGGCTCCTTTCCTCTATCGTCCTGCCTGCTGTTTTGGAGTAGGTGGTCCAATTCATGGAAGTTGGCACGGACGAACTCCTGTATTTTTTTAGCCGTTAATTTAGGCTGGGAAGGCCCTTCTTCCGGGGTATCCCAGAGAGTGGGTGAGGCGGTAAACGTCGTTGGGTCTCCTCCAGGGGTTTTTGGCTCATTCCCTGGAGTAGCCATGGAATGCATTTGCCCCAAGGTTGTTTTAGTTTTGGTTATGGGTGGAAAAGAGGAGAACTTCTAAGTAATGTATTACCTCTCCCCACAGTCGGCGCCAAATGATGAAAGTCAAATTATCCACCAACAATTATCAAAAGATTACCAGCTTCTCCTGTGAAACCAAGATCGTTAGTGTAAGTCTCGGGTCAAACTGAGAACATAAAGTTATATACCCTTTTAGTAGGCATTTCTTATTCATTTCTACTTATAATTTAGTGTCAGTTTGTTAAGTTAGTTTACTCTTGGGGTGATTTTACAGTTTAGGTATCTTAGAGGGTCAATGTTGAAAAATAGCATTAAAGAGGACCAAATTGCACAAAAAGACATCAGATTGACTGGAATGGAAGCTGCTGGAAATTGAGCTGCTGGAAGATCAATCAGAGCTGAAGCAAGTGGAGAAATCCTTGCTGTAAAAGGAAGATTGATAGTTGATGGTCTCAAGTGGAAGAATCTACAGCAACGACCTCAATAGAGGAAGAAGAAATGGCAGCTGCTCTGCTGCCAAGTTGCTGCTGCAGATGCTGTTACTGCTGTCAATCAGGAAGAACCAAGGCTGAATTGCTGCCAAAGGAAGGAATCACTTCTTCATCACTGCAAGTTTTAGCCACTGCAAGTTGAAGAAGAGAAAGAAGGACAATATGCGGAAAACAACAGCTACAAAAATGCTACTTACCCGCTGTGACTGTTGCTGTTGAATTGATGGATTGGGTGCTGCAATCAGGTGAGAAATGGTGTTGGAAGTGATCACAGGAAACAAGGAAGGAAAAGGCAGACAGATTTGGGCTGAAACATAATGATGAAAGGAAGCATGCTGCTGAGGATGCTGCTTGCTACTGCTGCTAGTTGAGCTGCTGCAGATTAAAGAATGAAGAAATAGAGATTTGTGGCTAGAAATTGAAGAAACTACGTTGGACAAGAAGACTAAAAGAAGAAGGCAATGATGAGAGGAAGGTGGTTGATTGCGGCTGAAGAGAAGGAGTAGCCAAAGAGAATACAGCAACTTTCCAGCTAGGCAAGTTGCTGAATAAACAAATCTCTACTGCTGCAAGTTGCTGCATCACCTTTCTGCTGCCAATAGCAGTTAGAAAAATAACAGATTGGGTAGTTAGATTTAGTCACAAAGACAGTAGTTAAGTAGTTAGTTAGTAGGTTAGAAACAGGGGGGTATAGGAACAAGGAGGCAGACTGTCACTTTGTCAAGTGGCGAACGCCACTCGCCATAGTGAGCAGACAGAAATTGTCCCTACTATCATCTTCCCTTTCTTTCCTCTAACCTTTTGATTTAGACTTATGTCTTATCTTTTATACTCTGTTGCTCTAATGTTTAACTCAATAAACATGAGTTGCTAACTCAGTTAAGGATTCAATCCCTACTATCTTTATGTGAAGGTTTTGATTCAGTTTCCTTGATGAGGTATTCTGCCTATATAAGTGATTTAATTAACTTGGCCACTTAATTAAATGTGCTTGCATGGTTATGAAGATCTGGAAGGGGGAGCATAACCTTAGAACTGTTTAATCTAGTCTATGACAATGGACGATAACCTTAGAACTGCTTGCATGGGGAAGCATAACCTTAGAACCGTGGTTCCAAACATCAACGAAAGTTTGGTGAATGGCATAGGCGATCAAAGAGGGCTTAAGAAATCAATGGCTTAGATTAATGAATTACTCTGACTGGAAGGTAGGTGATTTAGATAATCTTCTACTCTTTATTCTGTCTGGAAGGAATTATAAAGAATATAAGTGCCTGATCGAACAACTAATCATACACTACAGGAACATTTGAATCAAAACTGGATCATAAAGGTAGGAAGTTGATTGACCCTTTCGCTTCTTCATTCTGTCAACTGACTATTCTCACTCTCCCAAGTGACAATATGTTTAACTCATTTTCTTTCCTTTCTGCACTTTAATTAGATTTTGAGCGTTTGACTGCCGTCTCTGCGGAACGACCCTGCTTACCACTAGCTACTAGTTTTAAGTAGCTTTATAAATATTTCGTTTAAGTGGTTCAATGACAAACGATCCACCAAAAGTGGCGCCGTTGCCGGGGGTGGCGTTAAAAATCCTTAAAGTCTGATTATTGTGTTCTGTTATTGTTTTTTTAAGTTTTATATTTTTTAATCAAATTCACTCACTCAAATCACAAATTTTGTTATTGTTATTCTTCGTGTTTTTGATTACTGGTTTATGACTAGAAGCAATCTATCAGGAGAGCTAAGTTTTGTTCTAGAGATTGAAATCACGGCAAGAAAATCCAAAGCCTTGCGAAACAGAGAAGATGCTACTCATGTTCTTAAAAACCAGAAGCAGATGGCAGAGGTAGCAGTAGCTGATCAACCTCAAGAAAGAGAGATACAACCAGCTCAACCCAGACTGCTAAGAGATTATTTTGTACCCCAAGAGAAGGAAGTTCAAACTCCACTGGTGTACAATGATGTTACAGTAGAGAACTTTGAGCTTGAAACTCAAATGATTCAATAGGTGCAAGCTGCCCTTCCTTTCTATGGACTACCTTGTGAAGATCCCAATGAGCACATAAGGAAATTTCTGAGACTGTGCAGCACCTTCAAGATTCAAGGTTTGTCCAAGAACGAGGTTTACTTGAGACTGTTTCCATTCACATTGTAGGATTTAGCAGCAAAATAGTTAGACACTCTGCCCAACAACTCAATCAACTCCTGAAATGGACTCAGACAGGCATTCCTTACAAAATTCTTCCCACCTGTCAAGCTGCTGCTTTAAGATCAGCCATCATGACTTTTTAGTAGCATGGGACAGAGACTCTTTATGAGGCCTGGGAAAAATTTAACGATCTGATGAGGAAGTGCCCTCAACATGGTGTAGAAAAGCCAATGCAGAAAGAGCCCAGAGCATTCATGATCTAGATGAGGAAGTGCCCTCAGCCATCTGTGGATTTTTTTTAATGGATTGCAGCAAGCTTCCAGAGAATCACTTGATTCATCATCTAGAGGAGCATTCATGATGAAACCAGTGGATGAAGCAATCCAGCTACTGGAGAATATGTGTGCTAACCATTTTAGATGGCAGAAAGAGCCCAGAGCTACAGCTAAGAAGGCAGGAGCGTTGGAGCTAGATGCTACAACTCACTTGCAAGCACAGATGGTAGCCATCTCCCTTGAGATATCAAAGCTAAGACCTGACATCAACAAACCAAAGGTTGATGTATGTGAAATTTGCATAGGATCTCACCCCAGCTCTACATGTCAAGCCACTATGGAAGAAGTTCACTTCGTGAGACAAAGAAATGACAGAGGAGGCTTCAACAATTATATCAATTAGAAGCCACAACAGAATAACAACTGGACAAATCAGCATTCGAGCTATCAGAGATCAGCTCAACCACCTGGATTCCAAAATCAACCATTCGGAGTCAAGGAGGAAGACTAGATCGAGGTTGGTAATGTTCTTGCTAGTCTTGATGCACCTGTGAAAGGTATGCAAAATCAGGTTGCACAAATGGCAAGAAAGATACCAGACAGACCTCCTGGCACTCTTCCAAGTGACACACTGGAGAATCCCAAGAGAAGGGAAGTACACAGCACAGATCAAAAGGCTGAGATGGTGCTAACAAGGTATTGCATTTGAAGGAACCAAAGTAAGGAACACCAATCAGGCATGAGACATTACACAAATGCGCTGCTTGGGAGGCAACCCAAGGTAAGTTATTTTGTTCTTCTTAGTTTTGTTTAAATCATCTTTTGCAAAATAATCAATCTGTTTAAGTGGCAATCAGAAAGGGAGGAAGAGCCCTTATCACAAATTTTCAGGTGGAGATTGTGTGGATGGTTAACCTGAAATGCCTTGCCGACTATGATATAGTCAGAATGACAACATTTAGGTTTAATTATCTACACAGAGCAATGAACATTGAGCGGTCATCTCACTTGGGCGAGTAATGGACTTACTTTCGCGATTGAGATGATTTATCAAGATAACATTGTAGTCAAAACAGTCACCAAGTATTCTAGTAAAAGGGAAATAGGAAGGAGGGAAAATTCATTTAAAAGTGGAGATGAGGGGCAGAGTTGTAAGATGCAAAAATATGGGAAATCGGATAATCCCCACTTCAAAACTGACACCCCCACACCCCCATAAACATCCCATCAATACACTTTAACCCTCTCCGACCTTCCACTTCTTTCTGACAGCTACCATCACAAAAACCCTCTAGCCAAAAGCACTTCAATCCTTCGAAAATACAGCACCACAATGGCATCAGGAAGACAATCTATAGGACAAAGGAGGGACCAACTCTCGGGAACCAGAAATGCAGATAGATGGAGGCACACCCCGTGCAGAGTCTGCCAAATTCATAACAGAAGCGCGAGCTCAAACCAAGATTCAGAGGAGGTATCAAGAAATTGGAAACGGTGGATGATCATTGAAAGGGTGGCGACCTTCTCAACAGATCTGCCATCTTACATCATCGAACATCACTGGGAGAGAATCTCTGATGTGCCTCTAAGGCCAAACCTCACTGCGGTTAGGGAGTTTTACCGTAGTATGAGACAAGCACAGGCGATATAGTGGTGGTAAGAGACAGAGCAGTCAACATCAGTACGACAACAATCAGAGAGTTGCTGCAATTTCTAGAGATAGGTTTCCCCCATGAGGAAGCATTACACCAGATAATGGACTTTGATCATGAAGAAGAGTTGTCCAGCACGCTGAGTGATGAGATGAATGTCATCTGGACATTAAAGCATGGCAACCTCAGCCACTTTCCAGCTTCATATTTAAGACCAGAATATAAGCCCTGGTTCAACTTTATCTGCACTAACCTTATGCATGATCGACATTGGAAAAAGGTAAATTATGACACGGCAATATTGCTTTATGCAATAGTTACCAACACACCGGTCGATGCGGTTGATGTAATCCGAGAGCAGATGGACGTCTGCGCTTCTAACCCCAAGAGGAACTCCTGGTTCTTT